AAATCATCAACAAATAATATCAATGGAAACTGAATCAACTTATAAATTGTTCAAAATTACCTTCACCTAGTTTCATACAATAATACAGTCTATACTCTTGAAAGTGTTCCGTATATTATTCAAGATGTCCGGAGTCAGCAATCGGCATTCCCGAACAATTCTCTGTCGCAGATCCTCTAGATTTGTACACTCAGTAGAGTACACTTTCGACTTCAAATGTGCCCACAGAAAGAAGTCCATCGGTATGAGAGGAGGTGATCTAGCTGGCCACTCCACTGGACCCCTTCTGCGTTCCAACGCATTGGAAAACGTTTGTCTACAAACTGTCTCATCCGAACATCAAAATGTGGGGATGCACCATCATGCTGGAATGTTATTTCTTTTTCTACTAAATTGTTATCATTTTCCAAAATTTGTGTAATCATAGGATCTACGCAGTCTTGTATAGATTCAAGTATGTGTCTCCATTGAGATCAGCTTCAATGAAGAATGGTCCAACAATATGATTACCAAAAATGCCGGCCCAGTCATTCAATTTTTTGTTGAGTTTGTGATTGTGTTTCCATTACCAAATGAGGATTCACATTGCCCCAGTAACGACAATTATGTCTATTCACGTCACCATTGAACATGAAAGAATATTCGCCTGAAAAACATGTATTGTATAATAGGTTTGGGTTATTGGTCAATTTCTCGCTGAACACCTCACAAAACTGAAGTCGACGATCAGGATCATCTTCGTTCAATTCCTGAACTAGCCTTATTTTGGAAGGATGGCATTTGTAGGCTTCCAAAATCCGAAAAACACTAGTAGCTGATACACCAGACGCTCTAGCTACTTGTCGATTATTCATTTGTACATGTCCGAAAACTGCAACTTCAACTTCGTCATTTCTGACAGGACGGGATACTTCATGTTTTCTGTTGTGAACGGAACCTGAAGTTTGAAACTTATTCATTAACTGTTTAACGTATTGATGGCTCACGTTGTGGTCTGGAGGATTCGTATTATAAATTCTTGCAGCAGCTTTAGCACATTCATTATTTTGATAATAGGTTGCAACTTTTTTTTTTCTTTGGAACACAGTCATCAAGGATGACTGAATAATTCTTGAAGAAGTGACAGTGGGCCAACTATCTACTTTTTGTTCTGCGACAACTAGATTCAACAAAAACTAGCAGTGCAGAGAAAACTAATAGTGATGTCTATTTCAAAACGTTAACTACTAATTAAATACATTTTACAAATCTAGAAGACCTGCGAAAGAGAATTGTTCGGAAATGCCGATTTCTGACTCCCGACATCTTCAATAATGTAAGAAACGGTTTCGAAAGTAGACTGTATTATTGTATGGAACTAGATGGAGGTCATTTTGAACCATTTAAGTGTCTGTTGATTTGGTTTCCACTGATATTATTTGTTGTTGATTTCCTCATTAAAATAAACGACAGCGACATTTCTGTTTTTTCTTAAATAAAACGTTCAACATTTAATTTCTCAATACCGAATGATCGAATAAAAAAAATCACAGAGATAGTAGAAGAACAGAAGATTATTCAAATGATGTATCATTTGACCCCCATGCGATTGAGAAAAATAGGGGGGTAGTTGCTGACCGCAGCGGGGTGAAGTTTCGGGTATGATTTCTATATCAGGATTAGTTCCTCTAGAAATAAAGATTTACGTGTTCTTCGAAAATTTCGATTAGGTACGGGGGGTTCAAATTTGGGCGTTGGAACGCCCTGTAGGTACCAACCCTGTCATAATCTGACATGTTTAAATATTTCATCCTTTTTTATCGACCTTTTTTGAGCATTTTCACCGTCTACAATCTGAAAAATATGAAAGTGATACCTAATGGAGAACTTCATACACGTGTTGAAAGAGCAAACTTTTTAGTTCACCCCAATAAGTTACTGCGTAAATTTAAAGTATTCTTCACAAAGAAAAATGTTATAATAATCAGTAATTTGTCGTGTATCACAATTTTGCATTTCAATAAAGGGTTGAGAAATTATGCAGATACTTATCTTAACTTTTCGGAGGATACAATCTGCTCCCTACTTCAGAATTGTAAACAACCTTAAGTAGCTACCTCCTGCCTGGGCTGAAAAGTCTCTGCCCTAACACATAGACGGCGCTATATTGCATTCACCTTTTTTCAGTTAGTACTAGCTTCAAAAGAAAGCTGTTGAAATTTCATGATATTCTATTCATAAGTTTGTGAGTTATTGTGCAAAACAATGGTTCAAAAACAATTTCATGTTTGTTTTAATTGCACAATGCTTCTTGATGGGAAAAATTCCGTTCAAGCGAAGCAATGGCTTGAAAAGTGTTATTAGGACTCGGCTCCATCAGAAATAACAAATAAACACCGATGATGCGAACGCAGTGGACGTCCAAATGAGACAGTGACACCAGAACACATGAAAAAAATCCACGAAATACACCGAATGCACAACAATCGGCTGGAAAGGTTATGACCCTGGTATTTTGGGATGTGCATAGTATTATATTCATCAACTATCTTGAGAAGGAAACAATTATGTATTTCTCATAAGAGTCTCTCATCTACAATCCCAGCTTTTAGATTTGATGTATCTACATGTCTTGATCTTACTGTACATTATTAGAGATTCTGTTTTTCGAAAATATAAGAATAAATTTTTTGTCACAAAGGCAAATGTGACCTGCACCCTTAAGAGTCCAATTGTTTCATTTTACCTTCGATATATTTGGGGCAAAAATAAGTGGTAAACCATGAATACTGATTATGGAAAGAAATGGCTACAATAAATTGAAAATTCACAAATTTATTAAGCAACAAGTCATAAACGAAATCATAAAAAAACAATAATATGTCGGTCGGGAGGAGGACTGAATCTCGCGTGGAACAAATTGAAATTGTCTTATCCATACTAGAATCTGAGGTCTGGTCAGCTTTGTTTTAACGTAAGTGGTGTGTATTATAAGAATTATTCACCCCATGAGGAATATTTTGTTGAGCCGCCGCAGGTCATGGAAAGCTAAGATGTTGAATTCCCGTGTTAGGAAGCACACGTTGAAAGGTAAGACCTCGTTAGCCTTAGCTCGGACAATTTCAACTTCCGAGGGTTTTCGTTCGTAGGAGTGTGACAGCTGATTAACGGAATATTTAAAAAATATTTTTTCAACACACCATTGCGATATCGAAAGGTTTTGTTTTTGGGAAGATTCAATGAATATTATTCGGAAGATTATGCATTCATTCTATGTTTTTCCAAGCTCGGATACAGAAGCTGCTTATGTATCTGAAAATAATTCTATTGGAATAAAGAATTTCAATTTTAGGTTAGCAAGTCCCTGTAGCGCAGAGGATAGCGCGTTGGACTTCTAATCCAAAGGTCGTGGGTTCGATCCCCACCAGGGATGCAGTGTGAATATATTTTTTTTAAATTTTTTCATAATACAAATCGCACACTTTATTCTGAATATAATAATGTTCATCTCAATATTTTAAATTTGGAAGTATGGTGCATTTGGAGTACGGATAGTAGAACCAGGGCAGTGTGTATATCGTTTTTAATTTAATTGAAGTTACACGGTAGCCTCACCAGTAACTGACTGTGATCTTGTAGCGAAAATTTATTACGAAAATTCTATAATAATGATTGTTATGTGGATAGTGTTATTAATTTTCAGAAAATAGCGTGTCAGGTTATTCATTATTTTATATAAAATGCTGAACATTTTCTAAGACAGAAAGAAAGACACTTCTTTCTTTCAGATGTTTCAGATGTTCAGATCATGCACAGGAGTTTCTTTCTCATACATTGTGGAAGAAAAAATCCATTCGAAACATTTTTCACGAACTTTCATTGTGACAAGAGCAGATGTCTATTACGGTGGCATAAAGTAGTAATTTTCTGGTAATGATATATCTATATCAGTCAATGATTTGGTTGGTTTACGGCTTTTGCCGTGGTCTTCTTGTGTTACAATCTCCAAACGTTTCAACTGCAACTGCGGCAGTCATCTTCAGTGGCGTGGTCGAAATACTTGGCGTATCAACTGAAACTGAAGCTCTCGTTTCTGCCATGCATTTTATAGTGCAGGTTTTCCGCGCACTTTCTGTAATGGCGGGTTCACGCGTAATTCCCGCGGAATTTGGATGACTATTTCAAATCGAGAATACATATTAAAAAAAATGTTATGCGTTGAAACTTCCAAAACTTTTTTTGTAAAATTAGTATAGCTATTTTCAACAGTGTATAATTTACAATTAATTAGATAAATCTTGGTGATATTTTCAATTCGAAATAGTCGCACGTTGTATAAAATTCATTCAATAATCATTTATGAAATAGAAATCTTTTCAATGATAATGTCACTCTTGTCATTACAGTAAGTTTTGAACATGACGTTACTGATATCAGATATCTGAAAATTATGACATTATTAACATCAATGCGCCAATTTTGTTCAAATTTTTCATCAATATTCAACTTTCAATTGTAAAACTCAGATTATTTCGTCTTGACGAAGTCTCTTTTCAGAGACGAAAGCTTGGCGATTGGGAATTTTCTTTGGATGATCAGCCGAACGGAAATGTATTCTTGTAACACAAGTTATTCCAACATTTTGATAAAATTTTTTATCATCTTCAGGGAAAAGCTACAAAATTTGTATGATGGTAATACAATATAAAAAATGTATTAATATGGAAGGTCACAACTTACTGTTAGTGAGTTTGGCCGTGTCGGAAAGAATGTTATATTTAAACAAATGAAATATGTCAATACAATAAACAGGTGACTAATTAAAAGAAGTTGACTCCTCACAGGATACAAGGAAAATTATCACATTAACATTTTCTAAAAATCGTTAATTGTTTTAAAATTATGGATTACCGGTAAAAGCCATGAGGTTGAACTTTCCTTTTTCTTGTTCTCTTATCTGGAGAAAACAACTTAAATTGTTTTCCAGTATTGTGTAAAAACAATGTGGGTCCATTATTTACGTTTCCATCAACAAAGTGGCAACTGCACAAAAATGCACCAGGGCCTGGTTGTATAGTTCGTCTATGGCAAATTTTAGATTGTTAGCCAACTTAAAAAAATAATATATAATCATCTCAAGCCTAACTGCTAACCTTGTTAACTTAATCCAGCGGTTTCCAGTTTTTGAATCCTTGGGAAACTTAAAAAAATAATATATAATCATCTCAAGCCTAACTACTAACCTTGTTAACTTAATCCAGCGGTTTCCAATTTTTGAATCCTTGGGAAAGCTAAAAAAATTTACATGTTTTTCGAACATTATAATGCTTGCAGTGGGGTGCCCAACACTGTACCATTGTCTGTAAAAAAATATTTAATATCAATTATTATTGATTTCGTTGCACAATACATTCAAAATATAAACAAATTCAAATCAGAAAAGTTTAGATTTGAAATGCTCTTGGTTTAGATTTATCATTAAGATAAAATTTGAGGTTATCAATAATGATTATTAATCAATTATTTGAAATGGTATGGTTCAGTTTAGTCAAAATTTGTACAAAATGATTGTGTACTCTA